AATGTATGGTGTAAACATCACTAATGAACAGAATATTTGACAGTCTTTAAGCTTATACTGCTCTAATATTTCACCATGACATCATTTGAAGGAGAGCAGCAAGTATTTGATGATCATGCATCTTTGACCAGTTAGATTTCATTCTTGTCCAAGGACTGTCACCTCCGCCACCATCCCCGTCACGTTTTTGTCAGGCAGGCAGCCCGGATACTGGATTTATCATGTTTAATGTCATGAATCTTAAATAGCGCTGCTAACCAAAATATTAAAATCACAGTTGTGGATAGCATTCTGCAAATTGCCCGTACTTGCCTGTAAACATGTTTGTTTCTAATTAGTGCAGCCATGGAAATGTGTAATTGTTTAGGAGCTATGGTAACAGACAAATCTATAATATACAAACATTTCATGGCCAGTGGTAAAAATTTACTTTTAGCAAGTTTGTAACCTCTACAATAAATCCCAGTTATGGGACTTTTAAATAAGGAGTATAACATTTTCTAACTCCCAATGAGTTTCTGGATCTGTATGTTTTGGTTTTGGTGTTGTGTTATTTTTTTGTGTCTATTTGTTATTTTTATTTTCATTTATAACAACCAGTTGGAGAATGGTGGACAACCGCATATCGCCTACTGATTAAAACCCAATAGACAGCGAAGTAGGTTGTTAGAAAAGTATTCATTCAGGGCTTAGTAGGTAATTTATGACAGTTGCAGGAGAGGAGTCATGGGGAATGGGGGATAAAAACCTGCTAACAGTTAAACTGATAGGCTTTCTTGAAGAAGTGAGTTTTTAATGATTTTTTTGAATGAGTGGAGACTGGGTTAAAGTCTTACGGGGAAGGGAAGGGAGTTCCACAGAAGAGGTGCAGCCCTGGAGAAATCTTGGAGGCGAGCATTAGAGGTGGGAGTAGGGACAGAGGATAGACGTAGATCTTTGGCAGAGCGTAGGGGCCTCGACGGGACATTCTTGTGTATTAGGGAGGATAGGTTGGTTGGAGCAGCATTATGTAGGGACTTATAAGCAAGCACCAGAATTTTAAATTGAGCCCTATATTTAACTGGAACCCAGGGCAGGGACTCACAGAGCAGAAAGGCATGGGAGGTGCGAGCGGACAGGAAAATGAGCCTCGTCGCTGCATTCATTATAGATTGCAGCGGTGCAATCTGGGAACATGTAAGACCACTGAGAAGGGAATTGCAGAAGTCCAGGCGAGAGAGAACAACAGCATAGACCAGTACCTTTGCCGCATCAGGGTTAAATAGGGACGGATGCGAGTTATGTTTTTGAGATGGAAGTGACAGGATTTGGCGATTGATTGGACATGAGGGGTGAAGGAGAGGTTGGACTAAAAAAGAACACCCAGGCAGCGAGCCTGCGAGGTAGAGGTGATGGTAGCGCCGTTGACTTGGAGGAAGACAGACACAGGAGTAGTAACACTTGAGGGAGGAATGACCAGAAGCATGGCGTGGGGTAAAAGATAAGTAAACAACCTTTTTGACCTATGCGCTGGGGGGTGGGGGTCAACACTATAGTCAGTGGCGTACATACCGGGGTCGCAGGGGTCGCAGCTGCGAACGGACCCGTCCCATCAGGGGGCCTGGCCGCCCTGCGACCCAGTATGTATGCCAGTGTGGCCAGGAGCTGGCCACCTCAGGGCCCCCCGAGGCTGGCCCTGGTATCAACGGGCGAGCAGGCAGGCTGGCGCACACACGAGGGAGCACTCTCCCCTCAGTGCTTCCTCTTCACCTCCCTCGCGTGCCACACTGATGCCGGAGCCGGAAGATGACGTCATACTCCGGCTCCGGCATCAGTACGCGGCGTGCACGGGAGCTGAACAGGAAGCACTCAGGGAGAGTGCTCCCTCGCGCGCCCGCCAGCCTGCCTGCTCGCCTGGTGACACCACTGGACCCCAGGGAATCCCCTCAGCTCTCCCAAAGGTAGGGAGGCTGGGGTGATTAAATTTTAAAAAAGAACATGTGTGTGTTAGAGTGTGTGTGTGTTAGTGTTAGAGTGTGTGTGTGAGTGTGTGTGTGTTAGAATGTGTGTGTGTTAGTGTGTGTGTGTGTTAGAGAGTGTGTGTGTGTGTGTGTTAGTGTGTGTGTGTGTTAGTGTTAGAGTGTGTCAGTGAGTGTGTTACTGTGTGTGTCTATTACTGAGTGTGTTAGTTTGTGTGTGTCTGTTAGTGAGTGTGTGTTTTGTAAGTGAGTGAGTGTGTGTGTGTCTGTCTGTCAGTGAGTGTGTATGTATGTCTGTCACTGAGTGTGTGTCTGTCAGTAAATGTGTGTGTCTGTTAGCTAGTGTGTATGCGTCTGTTCGTGAGAGTGTGTGTCTTAAGCACTTACCTTTCTCCAGCGCCGGACTCCCTTGCCGCTGGGGATCTCTCCGCCCCGATCTGCCTCTCAGGTCTGAATGTGCATGCATGGCAAGAGCCGCGCACACATTCAAACCGCCCATAGGAAAGAATTACTCAATGCTTTCCTATGGACGTTCAACGTCTTCTCACTGTGATTTTCACAGTGAGAATCGCGGAAACTCCTCTAGCGGCTGTAAATGAGACAGCCACTAGAGGCTGGATCAGGGGCGGACTGAGAGCCTTTGGGGCCCCCGGGCAAAATTAGATCCCAGGCCCTTTGAAGGCCAAATATATGTGCATTAAATAAATGTTAAATATAACTCATAATACAGCATTCCTTTGGATGTGTATATTGTGAAGACCTGTGTATCAATGCATGTTTGTATTTGAGTCTGTGTGAATGCACTTGTGCATGTCTGGATGACTACATGTGCTTTTTGTATATAGTGTCTGTGTGAATGCATATGTGACAGGTGACAGAGTGTGTGAGGGAGAAGGTGACAGGTGGAAGAGTGTGGGAGGTTGTGACAGGTGGCAGAGTGAGGGGGTACCTGGTGGCAGAGTGAGGGAGGGAGGGGTTGAGTGGTGGCAGAGTAAGGGGGAGACACAGTGAGTGGGGGTGACTAGTGACATAGGGAGGGAGAGGGGGTGACTAGTGACAGAGTTAGGGAATGGGTGACTAGTGGCAGAGTGAGGGAGGGAAAAGATGACTAGTGGCAGAGTGAGGGAGGGAAAAGATGACTAGTGGCAGAGTGAGGGAGGGAAGGGGTGACTGGTGACAGAGTGAGGGGATGACTGGTGACAGAGTGAGGGAGTGACTAGTAACAGAGGGAGGGAGTGACTAGTGACAGAGGGAGGGGGTGACTGTCACTAGTCACCCCATCCCTCTCTCTGTCACTAGTCACTCCCTCCCTAACTCTGTCACTGTGTCACCCGCTCCCTCACTCTGTCACTAGTCATCCCTCCCTCACTCTGTCACTAGTCACTCCCTCCCTAACTCTATCACCAGTCACCCCTTCCTTCCTTCACAGTGACAGAGTTAGGGAGGGAGTGACTAGTGACAGAGTGAGGAAGCGGGTGACACAGTGACAGAGTTAGGGAGGGAGTGACTAGTGACAGAGAGAGG